ACACAAGCGGTCAGCGGGGTCCATCTGGAGAGTGCAGACTGAAGTGGGAACCTGAAGCTTACTCACATGAGGACACAGCGCTGACTGCTTTTCCTGTTTTAAACAAGTGTGCATCAATTTTTGTCTTGGATGACCATCATTCTTTCCTTAAAACTTACTGTTATTGGCAGAATAAATTCATTATTTTAAAAAAAAGTCCTGATAGACTATTACTCAGCCTTAAAACAGATGTCCTGCCCTTTTCTACAATGTGGATGAACTTAGAGGGCACTGTGAAGGGGGCTACGGTGGGGGCAGGGGAGATTTCTTCAAAGGATACAAAGTTACAGGTAGATACACCTCTACCATGTTGACACGGCTTCTAACAATGTATCATTCCTTTTTTTTTTTTTTAAAGAATTATTTATTTATTTGAAAGCTAGAGTTAGAAAGAGAGAGAGATATCTTCCACCCACTGGTTCATTTCCCAGATGCTGGCAATGGAAGGGGCCGAGTAGCCCAAAGCAGAGCTTCCTCTGGGTCTCCCAAATCTGTGCAGGGGCCCAAGCACTCCCAGGCTTCCCAGGAGCACCATCAGGGAGCGGGATGAGAAGCACTCGGGACTCCAACTGCGCCCCTATGGGATGCCAGCATCACAGGTAGAGGCATAACCTGCTGTGCCACTTCGCCAGGCCCCAAAGTATCAAATTCTAAAAATCACTCAGATTGAGTGTTCTCACAAAAAGGTGTGTGAGGCATATACATATTAAAAATTAGTTCAACTTAGCCATTCCACAACAAATACATATTTCTTTTTTTTTTTTTTAAGACTTTATTTATTTATTTGACAGGTAGAATTACAGACAGTGAGAGACAGAGAGAAAGGTCTTCCTTCTGTTGGTTCACTCCCCAAATGGTCGCCACGGCTGGAGCTGCACCAATCCAAAGCCAGGAGCCAGGAGCTTCCTCCCAGTCTCCCATGCAGGTGCAGGGCCCAAGCACTTGGGCCATCCTCCACTGCCCTCCCGGGCCACAGCAGAGAGCTGGACTGGAAGAGGGGCAACCGGGGCTAGAACCGGTGCCCATAGGGGATGCTGGTGCTGGAGGCAGAAGATTAACCTAGTGTACCACGGCGCTGGCCCCACAAATACATATTTCAAAACATGCTGCACATGATAAATACATATACTTTTGTCAATTAAGAAAAAATAATTTAAAATAAGAAAAACTATAAATTAGCAAAGGCATAAATAAAAATCATCTGTAAGCCCACCAATAAGAGAGAACTGTGGGCAACACGAGAAATCTTTCTTACCTTTGTGAGGTGTCCCCACAGCTGTGGCATATATGTTCTTTTCATATTTTTTTAAACGGTCTTCTAAATTGTGAATCTAAAAATAACAAACGGCATCTTAGGACTCTTTTGAACACTATATGTAAGGAAAAAGGAATGTTATGGTCACTAGATTTTTAACACTAAAAACAGATAAAATTAGAACAAATGGTTTCTTAGATACGACACCAAAAACACAAGAAACAAAAACTAAGTAAGTTAGACCTTATTAAGATCAGTGTCTCAAAGGGTACCGTCAAGAAGTGAAAGACAACCTACAGAAGGGGAGAAAAGATTGCAACTCATACATCTGGTGACAGACCCCACCTGGAACATACAGGCAGTACAGAAAACTTCACAACAAAAGATAAACAAATCAACTGAAAAATGGGGGCAAAGGACTTCACAGACATTGCTCAAAAAAAGTGATGCAAAGGGCCAACAGGCATATAAAAAGCTGCTGGACACCATTGCTCTGTTGATGGTAATGTAAAATGGTACACAGCTTTGGAGAGCAGCTTAGCAAGTTCTCAGAAAGCTAAATACAGAATTACTAGCAATTCCACTCCTGGGCATATACATCCAAAAGAATGGCAAACAAAAATTTGAACACAAATGTTCCTAGCAGCACTAGTCACAACAGCCAAAGGGGGAACAACCCAAATATTCAAAAACTGATGAATGGATCAAGGAAATGTTATCTGCCCATAACATGGGCTAGTATTCAGTCACAAAACGGAGTGAAGTATTTAAATAGGCCACAACACTGGTGAATGTAGAAAACGTTAAACTAAGTAAAAGAAGCCAGACACAGAAAGGCAGGTATCACATGGCTCTGTCTATATGAGATGCTCAGGAGAGGCAAATCCAGAGAGACAGAAAGCAGGCCAGTGGCTGCCAGAGGCTGGGGAAGAAGGTACTACAAAATGGACATGGAATTTCTTTTTGGGGTGATGAAACAGAACAATGATAATGATGGTTTCACAACATTGTGTGTGAACCAAATGTCAATGAATTGTGTACTCTAACACTACTAAAACAGTACGTTTTACCTTATATGTATATTACTACAATAAAAATAACAAAAATTGCTAATGATAAAACAGTTTTGAAGATTTGAAGATGCTAAAATAAGAAAATTTTAAAGCAGCAATCTTGATATAGATGGAAAAAGATAAACCACTTGAGAAGTAGAAAAAATAAAATGACATAGAGACTTAGCATCTTTGTGAATTTTTTTTTTTTTTTTTTTGACAGGCAGAGTGGACAGTGAGAGAGAGAGAGACAGAGAGAAAGGTCTTCCTTTGCCGTTGGTTCACCCTCCAATGGCCGCCGCGGCCGGCACACTGCGCTGATCCGATGGCAGGAGCCAGGTGCTTCACCCCATGGTCTCCCATGGGGTGCAGAGCCCAAGCACTTGGGCCATCCTCCACTGCACTCCCGGGCCACAGCTGAGAGCTGGCCTGGAAGAGGGGCAACTGGGACAGAATCTGGCGCCCCGACTGGGACTAGAACCCGGTGTGCCGGTGCCGCAAGGCAGAGGATTAGCCTAGTGAGCCGCGGCACCGGCCATCTTTGTGAATTTTGAAAATTATTATGAAAATTTTCAAATATACTCAAAGTATAGCACAATTATTGTCTGTCTATCCAACCATCACCCAGTTTCAACAGTTATCAAGATCTAAGTCTGTATAAATTTTAAGAGAACTACAAAAATCTCTGGTGATTCATCCTTAAACCTAGCCTCTGACTTGGGCCACTGTTTCTTCAAAGTTTAGAGAAAGGTTTTAATAAACAACAAATACTACAGACACACATATGACTGGTGCACACATACTTGTTCATTCTTGAAGGTTTAAAATGATTTAGATGTATTGTCCAGAGATAATATAGGAACAAATCATATTAAATTAGGAAAATTTAGCCACTAGCACTAATGGCTGATGTCAACTTTCCCCACTGGTAAAACGAAGACAAAAACATGCTCCTTTTTAGAACTTAAGTTATTCCAAATTGTACTAAAACAATAAGTACTGGAAACAGCAGGATGCAAAGGTTCTCATACAAATACATGTGATTGTGAATTTACAGAAACAACATCAAATGTAACACTTTCAGATTTGGAAATGAAATTTCTTATACAAAAGAATTTCAAAGTCAACTGTTAAATCAGATGTTTTTCAAAAATTAGCTACATGAGAAGTGCACACATCATCATAAATTTAATTAAAAATAAAAGGCACCAATTAGCCTCTACCTGTTCTCTGAACTCCTGTTCTTTCAACTTTGAATCACTGATCAGAGTAGTCTTCTGTGCTAGCTGTGTCTGAAAGAATAAAGATTTGAAAAGCATATGGGTTTCATCATCACCTGGACACATTTCTGTACTGTCTGGTCATTTCTCCTGGTTAACACCGTCTTATTATACACATGTACAACAGAGAAGCTCTGAAGATGCACTATCTTCAGCCAAATTTAATGAAGAACCAGCCTTACCTGTAGCTCCATAATTGTCACCTGAAGAGGAAAAAGAAAAGAAATAAATGTATACCATTAAAGTCTATTAGTAAAGAAAAATTTTAAACAGCAATATGAAATCAATAAATGAAATCAATAAAAGTATTTGCTTTTAAACCTGAACTTTTCTTCTTTATCTTAAAATTTTATTTGCAAAGTAGAAAGAGAGAGAGAGAGGGAGAGGGAGATGAAGAGGGAGACAGAGAGAGAGAGAGAGAGAGAGAGAGAGAGAGAGAAACACTCCCATTTGCTGGGTCACTTCCCAAACGGCCACAACCCCCAGAGCTGGGTTAGGCTGACGCCAGGAGCCAGGAGCTACGCTCTGACCTTCCACATGGGGCAGGGCCCATGGACTTGGATCATTATCTGCTGCCTTCCCAGGCACATCAGCAGGAAGCTGGATCGTAAGCAGAACAACTGGGATTCGATTCACTGCTGCAACATAGGGTGCTACAGTCCACCCTGCTGTGCCACAACACCAGCCCCGGGCCAGTGCTCCTAACTGATATGCCTACCAAGTGGCACAGCACAACAGAGCCCTTTATAAAGGAAATAAGTCTGCATTTTGGGAAAATGATCCATGCAACTAACTGGCTGTACAGAAAATTGCTATTTTAGTAACCGACTTTATGTAATAAATAAACATTTAACTTCTTGGAACCTTAGTTTCCCTGTCTGCAAAATGAAGGCAAAAAATCTCTTTCAAAAGATTTTTGTTAGGACTGAGATAATACATATGTTAGTAGGCGAGCAATGAGATAATACATGTTAGTAGGGGAGAAATGAGATAACACATATGTTAGTAGGCGAGTTGGCAGGTATCATGCACATGATAGTGATTTCAAAAACACGCAGCAAACTCAAACAGCGCTCACGGTATCACTGCCAGGGCTCTCCTGCTGCAGCCTCTGCTGGTACTTTTTCTGCAGCTCCTCAAGCTGAACCTGCAGGTCCATTACTTTGGCAGTCATTTCTTCTTCACGAGCCTTTAAGATTAAAAAAAAGTGTTAATAAACAAACACCCAAAAAAATTATACGCAGGAAACATGGCACAGAGAATGAACACAAGCTTCTGAGACACATATTACTGGTTTTATTTTAATCATTACCACAATCTAAACACTTTCCTTCACGCCCTGCATAGAACTCCAAGCTCTTTCCAGTGCTGCTCTCCATTCCTAGGGTATCACTTTTCCCACCCTCAATACCTCTTGTCCTCACCCTGCTAAGCTCATTAATCTGTTTTTCCTCCTTTAAAATGGGGTCCCCAGACTTAAACAACAAATGGGGTATGAGAGAGCGTTGTGACAGAACTACCACACAGATCCTATACTTGAAGACCTTTGCCTATCCTGTACTGAGATTCAATGTCCAGAAAACATTCATTAAAATAAGCTAGCAGGGGCCGGCGCCGTGGCTCACTTGGTTAATCCTCCACCTGTGGCGCCGGCATCCCATATGGGTGCCGGGTTCTAGTCCCAGTGGCTCCTCTTCCAGTCCAGCTCTCTGCTGTGGCCTGGGAAGGCACTGAGGGATGGCCCAGGTGCTTAGGTCCTGCACCCATGTGGGAGACCAGCATAGCTCCGGCCGTAGCAGCCATTTTGGGGGGGTGAATCAACGGAAGGAAGACCTTTCTCTCTGTCTCTCTCTCTCTCTCTCTCTCACTGTCTAACTCTATCTGTCAAATAAAAATAAAAATAACTAAACAGACATTTCTATACACAGCACTGTCCAACCAGCTGGCAACACATTGGTCACAAGCAGTTAAGGAGTGTCCACTCTTCGGATAGACTGTATAAATCAACAAGCAGTTAAGGAGTGTCCACTCTTCGGATAGACTGTATAAATCAACAGATGCTCCTTTGTCCTGTTCAGCACATCTGCATATTTCCTGTCCATCTGCCCCCAGATCATACCCACAGTTCTTTGGGATAAATTGTTTAAAATCTGTTCTTGAAAAAAAAAAAAAAAAAAAAAAGTACTGTCCAATATGCTGATAACCAATGCAATGTCTCCAATTGCCCTGAACTTTGAAAACAAAACAAAACAAAAGCAGGCTCAATGAGAAAAAGAAACATGTGACTTATTGGCCCAATGATCCTACAAAATCTGGCCTCAAACCATCCTCTCTCTGCCTGGACCACACATGTAAAAGGCTGCTGCCATGTTTGCATCCCTTCATTTGTCTTGGAATTGTGATGTATTGTGCAGAACAACCCAGCCCTCTCCTCATTCTATAAATCTTGCAATAACCTTTGTGCTAAAGAACACTGGGAAGTGGAATATTGATCTGATCTGAGGAACGAAGACAAGTGTTTGCTGAGTAAGGGACTTAACAGGAAGGAATCTGATTGAACAGGTGCTGGCGTGCCAGAAACAAGCACTGGCCTTCTCGAAAACAAACACAGCCCCATGGCACAAAATGAGGCAATGAACCACAGAACACTAGGGAAACTAATTTTAAATACTACTTTGTCATAAAACTTTCTTAAACTAATCAAAACCAACCAACTCTCTCAATACAAGCAAAGTGAGATTCCAGCGACGACTATGCTGAAATACTGCCCACTGAGGCCCACGTTAACCTGGCCTCCACCCCACAACATCACCAGCCAGAAAGTGTTCTAAGCACACTACTGCCCTCACTCATGACTTAATGTTTTCATTCTACCAGGATGCATCTTCTGTAGCTGCCTGTGCCCATGTAGCTCAGCCTCACTTGAAGGGACCCCATCCATAGCAACTTTACTCATGTAGGCCCAGATTTCAATACGACAATTAGTTATTTCTGACACTCCCTTTGACAGTTGTGGGATACCAACCTAAAGCAAGCCCTCCAAAAAGTAGAAAGGAATCTTTGATGTGTTATTTCTAATTTAAAACAATTCTGGAATTTCCTTTGTAAAAACTTTCCAATCTTCTTCAAAAGTAAGAACAAGAAGGGCCGGCGCTGCGGCACAGCAGGTTAAGCCACAGACTGCAGCACCAGTACCCCATATGGGCACTGGTTCAAGCCCCCACTGCCCCACTTCCAATCCAGCTATCTACCAATGTGCCTGGGAAGGCAGCAAAGGATGGCCCAAGTGCTTGGGCCCCTGCACCCACGCAGGAGACCTGGAATAAGCTCCTGGCTCTGGCCATTGTGGTCATTTAGAGAGTAAACCAATGGATGGAAGCTTTCTCTCTCTGTCTCTCGTTCTAACGCTGCTTTTTAAATAATAAATAATAAATATTTAATTAAAAAACAAAGAAAGAAATTAGTTTTACATCTGATGCTGCTGTAGGAGCTCCTTTCCACTGAGACTGCTCTGGAGCTGGAACTGGGCTACTAGGTCGACACCTGCACTTGTGAGTCTCAGTTCCTCCTTTGAGATGTTACATGCCCTCCTCCCAAACTCTTCACTGCTGGGGCCAGTGTTATGCACAGCAGGTTAAGCCGCCACCAGTGACACTGGCATCCCACACTGGAGCACCAGCTGAAGTCCTGGCTGCTCTGCTTCCAACCCAGCTCCCTGCTGTTGCACCCAGGAAAGCAGCAGCAGATGGTCTAAGCACCTGGGCCCTTGCTGCCCACATCTGAGACCAGGATGGGGTTTCTGGCTCCTGGCTTCACAAGCCATTGAAACCATCTGAGAAATAAACCAGCAGATGGTCTCTCTCTCTCTCCATGCCCCCCTGCTCTCTCCATCTCTCCCTCCCTCTCTCACTCTGCCTTTCAAATAAAGAAAACGAATCTTAAAATAAAAGGTTCCTCCCTTCCTGCCATGTCACCCAAGTATCTGACGCGCCAGGCATGGGGTGAGGTTTTCAAGACTAGAGATAAAGAACAAAATCTCTGCCCCACAAGACAGAGTCTAGGGGACAGGACAGATAATATCAACACATCCCTATGCAAATATATATGCCAAAAATTACGTGTTATCATACAGATGTCTATATTTGTATCAAAGGAAGAAAGATGCAAGTTAATTATATTTAAGGGATTACCAAAAAACCCTACTAAATAGAAGAAAATATGATTCAGGTTAAGTTTACTCAAAAAGTTACCTTCTGATTAGGAAAAGGAAATATTAAGAATATATTTCCTTTTTGTCCCTGTCTTTATAAGGAAACCTTGGAACACTGCACAGGAAACTAAGGACTGCCTGAGGAGGGAAGAAGGGGACAGAACACAGAGAAGAGAAACGGGTGCCATGTTCATTACATACCATTTCCAAAATACTATTTTGGTCTTTAAGTTGTGACTACATTTGATTCAAAAACTTTTTTCCAAATAAAAGTTAAATTCAAAGAATTTCTTTAAAAATATCAAAAGACACTAATTCATCAGGTTTGAGAAGGAAAGTTCAGGCCCACAGTAAAGGATGAGCAGAGGTGTACGAGGATGGGTAAGGTAGAGTGGAGTCTGGAACGCAGGATACACAGGAGTCAAGGGAAGCCACTGGGCGCGTTTGGGAGGGGAAGTCATGTGATCACACCTTTGTTTCAGACTGGGGCAGATTAATGTATTGGGGTGAGGGAAGACCATCGGCAAGATGAGGTAGGAAATTAATACAACAGACCAGACCAGACCAGACCAAAGATGGCAGCCAAGCGGTAGCAGCGTGCAGTTCAGGAGAGGAACGTGCAGTAGGACTATGAGTCTAATGTGTGCTGGATATTGTGCTGGGGGCACAAGCAGATATGGGACAACAACTACGTGTCTGCATATGGAAACCAGTGATGACAAAAGTTCCTAAATTCCTAAGATGGGGGAACAGTAAGAATGTTACCTAAGACAGGAAAGGCAGGAAAATGAACATGTCTCTGTGCTCAAGTCTGCTATTAACAAATCAAAGAATTACTTTAATAGTTGACAAAAATATAGCATCCTACAATGTCTCCACTGAAACAAATCATCAGTCTGCTAACAGCTTTTCAGGCAGGGAACAAATACAGAACATAAGAAAAGGCCTCAAAAAGTTCAAGGAAAATGTGTATTATGAAGACTACGGAGGGATTTCTGAACTTCATGCACCAAAATAAACTTATTCCATTTTCCATGAACTTTTGCAAGTACCCTTGTACATTCAAATCCTATACAAAAACTCTATTCCCAGAAAATGTTAAATGGGACAAAGGTAATCAAGGCAGTATGATATCTGCTAAGAACTGCTAATACTCCTTTTCAGGAGTCTCTGCATTTTAAAAAATTCTTTGAGATAGAGTGTATAGTAGGGATGATCAGATGAGGACTGCCTACTTAATTACAAAGTCCATTCTAAACTATCCAAGACAGTAGTCACTATTCAACCTAGTTGGTGAGCATGAAAAATATGGCTAAATTGTTCGTAAATGTAAAAACACTGTGGATGTCAAAGAATTTATATATGTCTACATATAGACATATAATTTATATTGATTATATGGTGAAAAGATGGTGTTTCTTTTTTTGCACTGGACTCACTTATTTCATTTTTTAAATGCAGCTCCTAGAAAATGTTACAATATGGCTCACATTTATTTCTACCTGACAGCCTGGTCTTAGGAAAAAGAAGGGACCTGCCCACCCTTCCCTTTCATGTCCACTTGCTCTACTATTCCAAGCCTGAAGCCTCGAGATTGTTTCCCTAAGATACATACGATTCTCAAGGAGGAGCCATGTCAGAGCACCTATTACTTGTCTCCCTTTACTCTACCCCTCAACACACAGGCATTTGTCATGACCCGTAAGTGTGGGGAGCAGGGCCCGTCTCCCGTAACATGGCAGGGCCCGTCGCCCAGGAAACAAATAAGTACTAAGACAGTGGACAAATAAATACTGAGGACAAATACTGAGATTACCGAGACTAGACTAAACTACTGGAACTGCTAAGACTAACTCTATGCATCTGATCTCCCACCATATGGCACTGAGAGGGATTAAATAACTTCCACACAGCTGCCTCATCAATTCGACTAACAAGCTGCAGGAGCTGGTCCTGCCCCGATTGGAGGAGAGCAGCGTGCTCAGCGCGTGGGGGGGAGAACGCCAGCAGAGTTGGGATTGGTGGAAGAGGACTATGAAGGAGGAGAGAGACACCATGCAGGAGGAACACCTGAGGAACCCCTGAGAGAGCAGGCCAGCGGTGTGCCGCCCCTCCGCGGAGGGGCGGGGGCGGGGCAGCGAATCCAGGGAGGACCGAGGAAAGAAACAACAGCAAATCCGTTGCCACTCCTCCGCGAGCCTGCGGAGGGAGCGACACGTAAGAAGTCTATTATGTGCTGCCCTGTATTCCAGGGAGAGAAGCAGATCATAAGGGGACCCTGAGCTGTGGCACAGCTCCCCCCTTGCAGATGAAGCTCCCTCTCTTAAATGCACATGATAAGTAACTGCTGCCCTCCCTAAGTTGCCTTCTGTGGAAGTTTTTACTTCTAGGTCATGTGAGGCTAATGAAGAATTACTGCTCTACCACTTAATAAGTTTTAAGGAAATCACTTAACTTTTCTAAACTTGCTTTTCCTTCTGGAAACAAAAAAGTAGAATTAGCTTTAATGTATCTTCCAAATCCAGCATACTCTAAGCATTCAAAAAGTAACAGTATTTTTTTTTAAACTTAGTACATATATAATCTGGAGGTATAAGAAGTGATGTGGAGCCGGCGCCGTGGCTCAATAGGCTAATCCTCCACCTTGCGGCGCCGGCACACCGGGTTCTAGTCCCGGTTGGGGCGCCGGATTCTGTCCCGGTTGCCCCTCTTCCAGGCCAGCTCTCTGCCATGGCCAGGGAGTGCAGTGGAGGATGGCCCAGGTGCTTGGGCCCTGCACCCCATGGGAGACCAGGAAAAGCACCTGGCTCCTGGCTCCTGCCAGGATCAGCGCGGTGCGCCGGCTGCAGCGGCGGCCATTGGAGGGTGAACCAACGGCAAAGGAAGACCTTTCTCTCTCTGTCTCTCTCTCTCACTGTCCACTCTGCCTGTCAAAAAAAAAAAAAAAAAAAAAAAAAGAAGTGATGTGAAATTATTTAAATTTTTCATAATAAAGTTTAAAGCTCAAATATTATATACAGAGGTAACATTTTTAGTAATGTGTCAATATCTTAGAATTTCAGTCACTTCACTTTTCATATTTCACTTTTAAATATGTTCCTGGCTCAGACTTCTATGGCTAACATTTAGTTAGCTGAAGCATAACTCTTCAATTTATGGATTCATGATCATCAAATGGTTTTGACATACAGAGAAATACAGCTTGGAGGAACTAAAGAGCCTACAACCTAGCCAAGGGTGAGCTGCATGTTTTACATCTGAAAAGCTTCTTACGGTCCAAAGCACTAACTAGCATACATGGCTTGTTTTCATGGCTCATTTTATTCTATTAATGGCAACGCCAATTAATATAATAGATTTGCCTGATGCACTCCTTCCCTACCCTCCCACCAAAACTAACACAACCTCTGCAGGTTGGGCAGGGACGGAGAAAAGCTAACTGGCCCTCACAGAAAGATCCCGGCTAAATCCGCAGCCACACTCAGAGGCACAGTGTCCACTGATCAGATTCTCAGCCTGCTGCTTTCACAGTTCAGTCTGAATTTGTGAGGAAGACATGAAAAAGCATCCATTCCTCCCTTTAGCAGTGACTCACTGTTGCTTCAGTAACCACCAAGTAGACTGTCCTGACTGTTAGCAGAATCTCCTCAGAGAACTACAACGCTGGCAGAAATCCAGACTGTAAATGTGTATGTGGTACGGGAGTGCCTGTGCATACAACATCATGCCCCACAAACTCTACACTGGGAAGAGGAGATTCGCAACACCAGCATGGAATCCAGCACAGCCAAACTTCAAAAGAAAGAAAGGAGATACATCAAGGATTTCTTCATATCTTTTGGCTGTTCTTTTCAGGTCGTCATCTTTCTCGGCAATTTTTTTGTGTAACTGATTCGTCTCTTCTTGATGGCTTTCCAAAAGTTCAGCTTCTACCTCCTGGGCCTTACCTAATAAATAAACACACAAAGAAAACACATTAGTCAATAATATCTATATCCCAATTTTAGCCAGAAATTCTATTCTAAATTAATCTTGAAAAAAGTCCACTTTATAGGTAAGTATTACAAGACACTTAATGAGACGCACAGCTCAACGCTGGTCAGAGGTACCCTCCCCCTGAGGATAAGGCCTTGATAAGGTGCTTAATTAGGAAATACTTTCATGTGCTACACCTCAAGCCACGTCACTGCCAGGCAGGGCAGGATCCCCTCAGAGCACTTTACTGGCCAAGGATCTTTCTTTCTTTTCTCCAGTTTAGGGATTTACAGCACTTAAGACAAGCACAAAAATAAATAAGGTTAAATTTATAGTCTCAGAGTAGGTGTTTCACCCAGAATTTTTTTTTAAAGATTTATTTATTTTATTTGAAAGTCAGTTACACAGAGAGAAGGGAGGGAGGGAGGGAGGGAGAGAGAGAGAGGTCTTCCATCCGCTGGTTCACTCCCCAATTGGCCACAACAGCTGGAGCTGCGCCAATCCAAAGCCAGGAGCCAGAAGGACTTGGGCCATCTTCTACTGCTTTCCCAGGCCACAGCAGAGAGCTGGATCAGAAGTGGAGGAGCCAGGTCTCAAACCAATGCCCATATGGGATGCCAGCACTTCAGGCCAGGGCGTTAACCCGCTGCACCACAGCGCCGGCCCCTCACCCAGAATTTAAGATGCACTCATTCTACAACAGAGAGCCTGGGTTCAAATCCCAGCTCTGGTTCCTGACTCCAGCTTCCTACTAATGCAGTGTGGGGAGCAATCCGGACTAGACTGAGTTACTGGAATTAAGACTTATTCTATGCATCTGCTCTCCCACAATATGGCGCTGGGAGAGAAGTAAACAGCTTCTGCACAGCTGCCTCCAGTTCAACTAATAAACTGTAGGACTTGCTCCTGATTGGAGGAGAGCAGCGTACTCGGCGTGTGGGCAGCCGAGTTAGGATTGGCGGAGGAGGACTATAAAGGAGGAGAGAGACGGCATGCACCAGGAACATCTATGGGGAACATCTAAGGGAACCCGTGCAGCCCCCGAGAAAGCTGGCCGGCGGTGTGCCGCTCCCCTGCGGAAGTGGGGAATGCGGCCAGGGGGAACTGCCCTTCCACGGAGGTGGAAGGGATAGTAGCCAACCCGGGAAGAACCAGCAGCAAACCCGGGGAAGGCCGAGCAGACGAAAGAACAGCGCAGGGTCCTGTGTCGTTCCTCCACGAAGAGGGGGAGCGACAATGCAGACCCTAGGAGGCAGTGGTAATGGCTCAAGTCCTTGGGTTCCTGCACCCACATAGACTGCAGACCCAGCTTCAGCCTGAGCTAGCCCCAGTTATGGTAGGCATTTGGAGCGTGAACCAAACGGGAGTTCTCTCTGTCTCTGTTTCTGCCTTTCAAATAAACGAGTACCTTAAAAAATGGTCTCTGCTGATTGTGATTTATTCCTTGCTAAATTTAAAGTTGTACTTACTGATGGTTTCTTTTATGGTCACTTCCAGCTCCTGCTCCTTCTGTGCCAGCTGGGTATTAAACTCCCTCATCAGCTGTTTCAGGGTGGAATTGTGCTTCAACTCAAGATCTTCCTGCTCCTGTCTGAGCACAAAATGCAAAGCATTACCCGCTGCCACAGGGAGAAGCTTCAAAGACTTGTCTAGTCTTCCAAACGGTGCACACGCATGATCTCACTGTATAAAACCTTCTAGCTGTGTGGTCTGTATGGGCACAGGAAACTTCTGGAAGGACATATAAACTATGATTACCTCTAGGGAGTAGTCCTGGGGACTGAAGAATTTTCCTTTTCCACTTTAAATTTTCACCTTATACATCTATGTTATATAATGATAGTGCTAATGCTAAAAATAATAAGATAAAAAGAAAAGTTACTGGGTTATATACCTAACAACCACAATCTTACACACAAGGTTTTCCTTCTACGTGGATATGGAATAATACTGCCTCATGCCCTAAGTTGTTTTTATTTCTCCTCTGTATTTAACTTACGGATTTATGTCTTACGCTTTGGGTAGGGGAAACTGACCCAACTAGCTTGAAATAACTGTACTAGGCACAAAAAGGAATCTCATGCAGGAGCACTGCCTTAGAAATGGTCATGCTGAAATAAAACTTACTTGATTCTCGCCTCCATTTCCTGTTCGCACTCCTTCTTCAGGATGTCCAATTCTTGCTGATGCTCTCTCCTCAGTGTCCGGAGGTCTTTCTGCAGCCTGATGACCTCCTTGCTCAGCTTCTGCTTCTCGCGCTCTGCCCCGGCTAACTTCAGCTCCAGGTCACTGTGCGGGGCTTCCACGTCACTGGGCGATCTGGGTTGGACCACGTGTGGTTTGGACTTTTGCTCAGCACTTTCACCCAAGGCTGCTGTGGGCGTATTTTTTCCATCCATCTGCTGTTGCGAAACCTGTAATTTCTCATATCTTGAGGTCAACTCTTGCAATTCAACCCTGTGAACTTCCTTCTCTCTCACCAAGCAGGAGTCCAGTTCTTTCACCTTTTGCTCCAAGATCTGACAGGTGAGTTCCTTCTCCTGGAGGGCTTTCTGGACATCGCCAACCACACTGTCCTGGGTCTGCTCTGCCCCCATGTCGTTTTTATCTCCCTCTTCTCCCCCAGGCAGGGACATTATCAAGGGGGATTTCTTGCTTTGTCCCTCCAGTTCTTCCTGAAGATGATTCGCCTGGGCCTGAGCCTCCTGTCTCTCTGCTGCAGCTTGCTCCACCTTTGCCAGGAGCTCCTGGTATTTGCCCTGCATTTCAGAATGAGAAGAGAGTGTCTCTTCTTTTTCCCGCTCGAGCCTCTGCAACAGCTTTTCTTTTTCAGCTAAATCTCTCTGTAAAGCACCGATTTTCTCCTCACATGCCTTCTGCATGCAGCCTTGGGAATCTGCTTCATGCGCAGGGCATGCCGCCACACTGTTTGCTGATATGGGTAAAACTGATGTTTCTGATTGCGGTGGACTTTCCACTGACTTAAGTTTTTCTTCCAAGAAGTGAACTTCCCTCTCTCTTTCCTGCAATTTTGTACTCAGCTCACACAAATGGCTTTCTGTGTCTTTTTTATATTGCTGTTCTTTCTCTTCCATTTGAGATAACAACTGCTTCTTGATGGCAGCGATTTTCTGCTCCGCTTTCTTCTTCAGTTCTGCTAATTTTGCAGCACTTTCCAACTCCAGTCTATCTTCCAAAGCCTTTAGCGCCTCCTCTTTGCTCTTCATACTTGAATTCACCTCTTCCAATTCTTTCTTCTTAGTTTCAAGTTCAGCTTCCATGAAAGATACTTGCTTTTCAAAATTTAAAATTTTTTCTTCAGCTTCTTTAACCCTATTGTCCTTTTCTTCTCCCATCTCCTTAAAGTGCTGAAGTTTCTGGACCAGTTCTTTCTGTTCGATATCCTTTTGTTGATTATGATTTTTAAGAATTTCATTTAAGGACTCAATTTCCACTGTTCTCTGAGTAACCAGGTCCTGTAATTCCACAATTCTTGCTGTCTGATTCCTTACCTTGGTCTCTAAGTCACACTCCTTCCTCTCCATCTTGGTCTTCTTCTCTTCCATCTCACCCTTTAAACCTTCCAACCTCTCAGTCTGCTGGCCCAGGTCTTCCTTCAGCGCCTGTATCTGCTCATCCTTTTCCCCAGCTTCCTTTGCTTTCCGCTCAAGCTGCCCCTGCAGCTCTCCAATAGTATTCTGGTACTGCGCGTACCTCGACTGTGCTTCCTTCTTCCACTCTGAGAGCCTGCTGGTCGAGCAGTCTGCCTGCTCCAGGGCGGAAGCCTTCTCCCTACTCAAGGCACTGACTTTCAAAGACAAGTCCTGCACCTGCTGCAGCAGTCCGCGCTGCTGCTCCTCGTGCTGCCGACTGAGGGACGAGAGGGCCGCCTCCTTTTCAGTCAGACTGGCACTCAGCTGAGCGCTCACGTCAGCCAGCTGTTTGCTAAGACTGCTGACCTCGGCCTTCTTCTCTTTCAGCTCCTCCTTCATCAGGGTGACAGCGTTCATGTTCTCAGACAGCTCCTTCCTCAGCTGGGTGATGCAGGACTCCTTCTCTGAGGCGGCCTGCTGCTGACTGCCCCCTTCCTTCTGCAAGGCCTCTTTCTCTGCCACGAGACCTTCAATGTCAGCCTCCATGCTCTTAATTTGATTTTCTTTTTCTTCTAACTGATGGGTAGCTTGCTGAAAAGAACTATTCAGCGTGTTCTGCTCATCTGTTAGCTGCCTAAGTTGTGCTTCCAGTTGAGAAACTTGGCGAGTTTTAACTGACAGTGCCTCCTTAACTTTAGTCGTGTGGTGCTGACAATGGGAAAGCCTAGAGAGGATGGCGTTGGTTTTACTACGGCTGAGGTTGACCAGCTCACTTGTTTTCGTTTCTAATAAGGCTTCCATTTCCCTACAGTACCCACCTAGCTGAGCTGCTACTTCCTCAGACAGTTTTCTGAATTCCAGGCTTTTGTCTTCTAGGCTTTTCTTACTTCTTTCATGGGAAGACTGCAGGCGCTGGAGCTCCGCATCTGCTGCTTCCAATCTGTGGGTCAGTTCTGCCACCTTGAGCTCATCTTTCTCTGCCAGCGTCTTCAGCTCAGCCAGCTGGTCTTGAAGGAAAGCATTTTCCTTCTGCGAATGCTTCCAGTCGGCCTCCAGCGTTTCAAGCTGTGCTGTCAGTGTAGTTTCTTGACGCGTGAGAGAACTGACGTGAACAGACTTCTCCTTTAGCTGCTCCTGTAACTCACGCAACGCGGTCTCCTGCTTCACACCCTCTTCCTTCCGCCACGTCAGCTCCCTGCTCATCTCCTCTTTCTCACATGCAGCCAGGAGTATCTTCTGTCT